CAAAACATCGACCAGGCAATAGCTGTATAGATCTATTCTCTCTCTTGTAGATCCCTATATACAGACGCCTACACAAAACAACAGACAGACACTGTATAAAACTACAAACAATATTTCTTTTCGCAAAGAGCTCGCTGTTACATCTCTTTCTGTTCACCACACTGCTCTTTAGCACCCGCGCCAATGGAAGACTAGCTCGGAAATTGGACTACGCAACTATCCTCCAAATTGTACAAGACCTATAGAAACTCCATATTGAACAACATACATAGAACGGCTTAGCCAAAGTCCTACATAGTCACCGACTGATACAGGACTCTAATGGAAATATAATAATAATAATAATAATATCCTCCTTCACGGAGAGCCTCATATTGAAGGCCTTCGAAGCTACTGGGATCTGGCCGATAGATGCCAACGTTATCCTCCGTAGATTTGCTAGCACGCCAGAGGCTGAGAGAAGCTCATCATCAGGGCTCTCTGATCATCATTGGAGAAAGATAGATCGATTAGTTCGAGCTGCTGTCACTGATAGCCATCAGTATGAGGCAAGAAAGCTGCGTTCAAGCGTCCACCATCTCTCTGTTCAGAATGAGCTTTTAAAGCATAAGAGTGAGGGCTTAAGGGAGGCTCTTCAACACAAAAAGAAGCACAGGATGAAGGGCAAAGCTCTTGACCTTCAACAGTGCCAGGAATATCACGGTAGCGCTGTCTTCTGGTCTCCTCGCAAGTTGCGTGAGGCTCGAGTTAGAGAAGCAGTACGGGAGCGAGATGAGACGGAGGAGAAACTCCAAAAAGCACGGGCCAAGAAGCAGCGCGAGGAGGCTCGACTGCAGCGTCAAGTTGAGCTCGAGGAGAAGCGTGTTGAGAGGCAGAGGCTCAAAGAGATGAGGGAGGTTGAGTGAGCTGAGAAAGCAGCTGAACGCGCGCGCAAAGTTGAAGCTCAACACCAGAAAAAAACTATCCAACAAGCTCAACAACGCAAGCGTAAAGCCTCACGAGTACTCTCACCAAGTAACAAGCGTCAAAAACGCGCTGGCGCTGCTCACGCTGGTGTTCAAGCTGGAGATGAGCTATCTGCTACTCCAGCCAAAGTCACATCACGTGGCCGCAACGTCAACCTCCCACAAAAATATAGATAGTACAAGTTGATCACAAGCATCTAATTACAGCCTCTCTACAGAATCTCATGATAATAGCTATTGTACGTGGCTCAATATCCTCACTTTTGAAGTGGTGGATATGGTGTTCGGCGGGGCACGAGGTGTCTCCGGGCATGAGCTGTCCGTGCACGTTAGCTAACGATGACGCAGCGGAGGATAAGTACGATAAGTAGAAGAGGAGCGAGTCGTGCTCGGAGAAGGGTTCAGATTACGCAAGAAACCCTATACAATACTAGGTAGCGCTACGCGACCGCTACCTATGCCTTAGCAAGCTTACGCTTGACGTACTCTCTATCCTAGCGTCGAGCTGCAAGTGTGAACGCATGTTTAGTGAGCTTAGCGATCTATTAGAACCTCGCCGGCGGGCTATACAACCTTAGCTTTTGGCGGCTATACAGTGCGTACGACGGTGGCGAAAAGCTGGCCTAGGCGACGATGAGGTAGCTATAAAGGCAACGATATCTGACGCAGAGATGGACGTTTTGTACGACGTGAGCACATGGGACGACGAGAGCGATAGCTGAAACTCAACACTAAAAGAAACTAATGCCAAGACTCAAGCCTCAAGCTTTTCAAGCCAAGCCACCTAATTTATAGCTAACAAGCCGGTCAAGCCAAGCTCACGAGCCAGGCCGGCTTGGCCGGCTTGTTGACAACTATGGACGTTAGACGACAAACTTTAATGCTTGTATCTATTCGTAATCTACCCCAACTTTATGACAGTACAGTTCGATCTACGGAGGTGCCTTTCAAAAGTTATTGCTAGCGCGGTAGATCTATCGGCCCGATATTTCTTGGCACAGTCAGAGTTTTTGAAGCTGAAGAAAGCAGTATCTTCGCTTTCTTGGGGGTTTCTCAAAGGTTAGTTATACTAGTAATGGCTCCTCGTTCTCACACAGACTCATTCACACGTGCTATAATTGTTACTTTAAAGTCCCGCTTTGTGGGCAAATCAACGAGCCAGATCAGCGAGATCCTGGGTATTTCCCCACGCACTATCGACGCTATCTTCAGCCGAGCCTGCCTTCGAGGCTTTGAGCCAAATGGACCAACCCTTAGACTCCGCAACAATCAATTCAATCCGGTCACTCTCCTAGACCCACTTACCTATCTAGGTAGGGCTTAAACTCCTATAGGTAACTACTAGGCTTAAAGCGGTAATCAATCAATCCAATCTGAACCTTCTAGGACCCACTTAATTGATTGTTGCGGACTGTGCCAACCCTAAAGGTTCTTCCTGAACACCTTGAAGATGCTCCTCGCTCAGGCCGCCCACGTAAACAAGAGGCTATCCATGAACCTACTGTTGACAAAGTACGCCGTGACCGTTATGGACGAGAGAAGAGCTGTGCTGACATAGCTGGTGATCTTAGTCTCTACGGTTACGACGTCTCTCCTACCACGGTGTGGAGAGTCCTCAAGGCAGCAGGATACAAGAAGACGAAGCCGACGAGGAAGCCTGGGTTGACGAAGAAGATGAGACAAGATAGACTTACCTGGTGTCTCGCTCGTCAGCACTGGACTCTTGAGGACTGGAAGAACGTTATCTGGTCAGATGAGACCTCTGTCGTACTGAACCACCGCCGTGGTGGGTATCGGGTGTGGAGAAAGGCAGATGAGGCTCTTACAAGATCTGTGATACGAGAGAGGTGGAAGGGATACTCTGAGTTTATGTTCTGGGGCTGCTTCACGTATAATTACAAAGGTCCCTTTCATGTATGGAGGCCAGAGACAGCCCAAGAGAAGAGAGAAGCAGCTCTTAAGATTGAAGAGATGAATAAGATCCTAGAGCCTATTATGAGAGAGGAGTGGGAGCTTACTATAGGCATGAAGAGGATAGGCTTAAGGAATAAGCCTGGTAGAGCTCCTCAATGGAGATGGACTAAGGAGAATGGCAGAGATGTCAACAAGCAAGTCAAGCTGGCTTGATTCTTATCGATTGCAGATCACAGACAATATAGAGGCTCGTGCACAGTGGCACGTCCCAGAGAATGGTCTGTGATCTGCAATCGATAAGAATCAAGCCAGCTTGACTTGCTTGTTGACATCTCTGGAGAATGGGAAGCTCACTCGTGGTAATGATAAAGGTGGCATTGATTGGTGGCGGTATCAGACTGAGGTTCTTCTCCCGAAGCTTATCCCCTTTGCTAAGGAGTGTATGAGAGAGAGGCCAGGTACTCTTGTTCAAGAAGATAAGGCTCCCTCTCATGCTCACCAGGCCCAGAATATTATCTATCAACGAGAGAGTGTGGAGAAGCTCTTCTGGTGTGGTAACTCACCTGATCTCAACGCTATTGAGCCAGCCTGGCCATGGTTAAAGAGAAGAACTACCAAGAAAGGAGCTCCAAAGAGTAGAGGAGAGGCCACAAAAGCATGGGAGCAGGCCTGGAGTGATCTCCCACAGTCACAGATTCAGGCATGGATAGAGAGAATTCCTATCCATGTTCAAAAGATTATTGAACTTGAAGGTGGGAATGAGTACAAGGAAGGCAGAGGCCTGCCAAGAGTTCGTGGAGACTGATCTGTCTGTATTTCGGTAGTTTCTCGGTCAAATAGGAGACCCCCCTGTCAGCAATAACTTTTGAAAGGCACCTCTGTATCACGGTCCTAGTTCGATCCGCGGCGGTCCTAATTCGATCCGTCGTAGCCCCCGCTTCTCTTGTTAAAAGCCTAAGTATCTCTAAAGATCACGGCAAGAAATATCCGGTTGATCCGGAGCCCCGCAGTCCCAACAAGAAGATTGAGCGCGAACACCAAGTTCCGCCAGCTTCCGGACCCACTCATGCTCCCTTAAACCCACGTCTTGACGATTTGAGCAAGGGCCAAGGTTAGAAGACTGAGGAGTTTCTTGTAAGTGACGTAGAGGTAGGAGATCTTTGCTTTGGTAAGATTAGACAATAGTATTACGACATGATCTTTGGAAGAAGTATTGATTTATGGTCACTACTCTTAGTTCCTAGTTCCCTGTTGACGAGTGCCGCACTGTTGGACCCCTAGAGTAACACGAATCGATTCGCTGCGACCCTAATTCGATCCGTCGTAGCCCCCGCTTTTCTTGAAAATCTCAGCAATAATTGACTTAATTGACTTAATTACAAGCAATCAAAACAAGCAAAACTTATCAAGCTTCTTGCTTGTTGACAAGTCTGCTTGCCTCGGCTTGAAGCCGGGCCGGTCAAGAAGGGTGTCGTTCCCGCACGAGCCTTACGCTAGTGCCTAATTCGGTACTAGCGTCTTGTTTAGCGAGGTTGTCGGTTCGATCCATAACACTAGTGTCACGTCGCTCTCGGAGTCAAACGATTGTACATGCAAGTAATGATTACCCTACACTTAGGAAGGCTAGATTGGCTTGCTTTGCATGCTCACTTGGTCTTGACCAGCTCGGCTTCTAGCGGAGGCTAGTAATAGCCTGGCTTCTGTGCCAAGCGGCTCTTGGCGTAATCTTTCGGATCAGCGCCGTGACATGAAGATTGGATAACAATGTTCCGGGCTTTTACGGAACTATAAATGAGATGCCTAGATGCTTGTTAGTAAGCCAGTCGGCTGCAAGAGCTTGCCACGCTAGAAGTAAAGAAGAGTCAATGTCTCCGTAGAAATGCCGAAAACTGTCTTATGACATAGGTAAGTTACAGTGTCACTACGTAAAGTTTGCCACGAGCAGGGATCCTTCTCTCTAGGTCCTGGGCCTAAGTCAAACTATGCACAGTACGTGCCGTGTTTAATTTCCGTATCCACCCCTATGCAGGTACTGACGCGGCCTTCTAAGTTCCTCGCAAGCCTCCTGTACAATTCTTATCTGATATAATATAACATCCGTCCTGACTCAACCTTTACATCACTGTTTCATCTCCAATAAGTTTATCACTCTTAACACAATCAGGAACAAAGGTTCTATTGAAGAGCGTTGTTTCACCATTTTACAATAGACTTAGTCTGTATGTGCATCTAGAAACGAAATTACTAAGATTTTAATTTGTCAATTGTAGGCCGCTTATTTCATGTCTTGCTTCCGGGCACACTGAACTGCTGAACCCTGACGCCATTCTTATATTGGCTTCCCTGTTGGTATGATATCCCTATCAATCCGCAGATTTCGCTAGCTTATAATATTTCTATGCTTCTTAGGTAAATAATAGAAAGCCTACTACTTATTCGTCAGCAATATTGCAACCTAAGATGTTGACATCGTTGTCCACGTACAAAAAACTTACAGGAGATGATCAACCTGAAGGAGAACGGCTGGATGAGGGCAGCGGAGAGTTGGAGCCACTTGAGTTAGATTGTGCACGAAGGCCATCTGAATACTCGACGATTCGAATTGTTGCCTTGGTATGGAAGTCGTTCATTGTTGCCCTCGCGCTGTACGGCCTGGCGGACCTAGTGCAACGTGCACACGACGCCTTTACTTCTAAGAAGGACAACTCATGCTATTGCGGACGCTCTGTTGCTGAAGCAACAGCTATGGGCTGTCAATACGACTTATTGGCTTCCGCCTGGCTCCCCGATTGGTGTCGTGATAAAGAATTGTCGGCTGAATTCGACCAGGCAGGTCCAGGGCCTGGCGGCGCTTGGGATTATTTTGCAGACAGCAATGGTACTATACCTATAGTACCTTCCGAGGTGGGCCTCATTGCGGATACGAACAAATTTTATCATACTACGAATGAGTGGCACATAGTGCACTGTGTCTACTACTGGAGGAAGCAGTATCGGTCTAGGCTTATAGGCACGGTGGTTGAAGCAAGATATGACAATGAGGGTCATATAAAGCATTGCGGCAAGACATTTTTAGAGTATGTTACCGAAAAGTACGTAGACACTCGTCAAAATGCTGCTCTTAACAGCTCTTAAGAAACAGTTACTATACCGGTACAAGCGAGCGCCGCACCTACCAAGTTGTCAGATAATAGCACTGTTGATGAGAGCGTACAGAAGCTGGGTGATGCTAGTGCGACCCGGCATCTGTGAGAGCCAATCAGACCACAGTAAGGCTTGGCACCCCCTAGGTGAGCCCACAAACCGTGGACAGAACATAACACAATCAATCATCATCATCTATCAATATTGTTGCCTATTTCATTAGTATTCCGGATAAGAGTGAATATCTGACACAAGTTTACGCACTTCTCTTATCTTAACGTACAATTGCTCAATGTAGCGCTACTCTACCAGCTTCAAATCATCGAACACCAACTTTTCGAGATGACAAAAAGGTCCTGGATCACCCTTTTTTCATCTCAATTCCATTGAAATGCCTTCCTAGAATCAGTTTCCAACGTCTGCTTTTGCGTGCAGGCGTTGTGGCGGGCGCGCTGGCCGCTGCAACTTTGACAGAGTTGTTACCTGGCCTTAGTTGAGAGAAATCTCTGCAAGTGGCCCGTGCGCCAACTGATTTTAGATGTTCGATCGAAGGCACCCTATACGAAATCGACAGAGCAACGGCTCTTCCTTAGGTATATAGTTCTATTACTGTAAAGCAATAGGTCTATATATCTAGACGTCATCTATAACCGAACTCCCTAAACCAACTCGATATACCGACCCCCTATACCGAACAGCTCTAGCACCTGCTGTAGTTCACCAGCACACTCACGAGCAAACTATCGACAAGGCAGTAGATGTATAGATCTACTATGATTGTAAATAGATCCCTGTATACAATTGCCTACACCACCGAACGCCCTACCTACCGAACGCCCCAAACCGACACGATATACCGACCCCCTATACCGAACAGCTCTAGCACCTGCTGTAGTTCACCAGCACACTCACGAGCAAACTACCGACAAGGCACTAGATGTATAATCTATGATTGTTGTAATAGATCCAATATACATGCCTACACCACTGAACGCTCTACCTACCGAACCCCCCAAACCGACTCGTTATACCGACCTCATATACCGACAAAACCAATAGAGAGAGCTACTCTATAAAACTAAAAAACTACTTTCCTACTACAAGAGCTCGCTGCTACATCTCTTTCTGTCTACCACACTGCTCTTTAGCACTAGCGCCTACTCTATGTCACGGTAATCACCCTAATTCCCTGACACCTGAACGGCTATAGACGCTAGGTGCTCCTGTAAGCACCCGGCATCTGTTGATTAGCTAAGATCAGCACAGGCCCCGCGCTAGGCGCACAGGCCCCGCTTATATCTGCTCACCGCAACTTGAACCTGTTCTGTTTCCTTACGCAACGTCTTGTATCTACACTAGATAGTAACTACGATCAATAAAGAACTGCAAGACTATCTTCTGTCTGTGTTCGACTGCGACGTAGTTGTGAAGGTCGTCCGAAGATGATCTTGGGTTGGTTCTCGGGGATAGAGTGATGCGATGGACACGAGGTTGTATAGCACGGTTGGTAGATCGATGTAATATACGGGGAGTTGAGAATCAAGTACTAATCCTTAGATTTCGAAGTTGAACACAATGAACCGTAAGGGCTCATTGCTTACTATTATATAGTGAGTGTGCCCTCCATGTTGAGGTCTGCCCTCCTTGCCTTCCATGGAGGTCAACGCCCTCCATGGATACACTGGGAGGTGTTGCCAAGCCTGGAGGGCAGGTCACGTGACTGCGCGGCACGAGCTTACCCGCTGTGCCCCGCCTTCAACGTTGTCCTGCCGTTGTTGCTTGTTCTCCTCCTTGTAATCGTAACAGTAGTCTCTCGTGACATTACGTTGCGTCACACTAACTATGACTACTAAGGAGCCGAACTCTGCTTTGCAGCTTATACTGCAGCAGATTGCCAGTCTAACGGACACTCTTATTATTATTATTTATTGAGAAGCTGGCACTATTAGTAGTAGTGTCAGATATTCACTCTCATCTGGAATACTGATGAAATAGGTAATAATGGTGATGATATTGATTGTTGATTGTTTTGTTGGTTCTGTCTACGGTTGTGGGCACACCTGGGGGGTGCCAAGCCTTCCTGTGATCCGATTGGCTCTCTCAGATGCCGGGTCGCGCTAGTCTAACCCAGCGTCTGTACGCTCTCATCTTCAACAGTGCTATTATCTGACACACCCCTTCAGCTTGGACGCTCTTCACGCTTGCAAGCTGGGCACTTAGTCCTACTCAAGGCTTACCACGAGATTTTCAAGTTTCTCTTGAATTTCTTCGAGCGGTGCCGAGTTTCTCGCCAGGATTTCCTTAGCGGGGACTAGTCCTAGTTGTTCTAGGAATTCTGGCCATTTGTTTGGTGGCAATGATTTGGTGAGACCGTCGGCGATCATATCCGCGGTAGGTATGTACTCTACGGAGATCCGGCCTGTCGACACCTCCTGTCTGATCCAGTGATTGTGTATGTCGACATGTCTGAGTTTGGTTTGAAGCTTTGAGACCTCCTCGGTGACTAGGCGAATAGTCTGTTTGTTGTCGCATTGAATAGTGATACTAGGGGTGTCAAGCTGGATGTTCAGCTCCTTGAGGAGACGGGACAGGAATAGAGCTTCCTTAGCCACTTGAGACAGGGCGAGAAGCTCGGCTTCTGTCGTTGATGTTGTAACAGTGTCTTGTTTGTTTGCTTTCCATGCGATGAGTCCATTAAAGAGCTTAATCGCGTAGCCTTGTGAGCTCTTCCTGTCTAGGGTATTGTCGGCAAAGGAGGCGTCGCTGGCTATCTGCAGTCCAGTGCCTCCTCCAAGTTGTAGCGCGAGGTGTTTTGTCGCTAGTAGATATAGAAGAACACGGTCGGCAGCGTTGTGGTGCTCTAGTCCTGGATTGGAGAGAAAGCGGGCGAGCCGCGACGTCGCAAAGGCGATGTCTGGTCTGGTAGTTACAGCTGCGAAGAGGAGTGAGCCTATCTTGCGCTGGTATTTGTTGATCTCTGATGGGCAGGCGAGCCCATCTCTAGGGAGTAGCTCGGCAGTCGCCATCGGCGTGTCGTGTCTAATGTCGGTACGGTCGGCCAGTCTACTGATCTTGTCTGCGTAGGCCGCCTGCGACAGTTGGATCGTCCTTGATTTGCGATCTCTGATGATCTCGACGCCGAGGAACCATTGTAGGTCATTTCCTCCTGTGAAGAGGTACTTCTCCTGTAGGCGGGCAATTGCCTGCTGGGCGGATTGCTCCATGTCTTTGTGGTATGCTAGTATGATGTCGTCCACGTAGAAGAAGATAATGATGCCGCCTTTGATGAGACAGCAGGGCTCGTGCGGTACTTCTTGGAAACCGAGTTCTTTGAGAGTGCTTGTGAACTCTTTCTGCCAGAGGAGCGGGGATATGCGCAGTCCATACAATGCCTTGTTAAGCTTGAGTATAGTACCTGGCTTCTGATGGCCGCGTGGCATTCTCATGAATACTTCTCGGTCTATTGTCGCATGCACGAAGGCGTTTGTCACGTCGTACTGTTTGAGCTCTAGGTCGTACTTTGCCGCAATTGCGGTTAGCATTCGGAACGACCGGCTTGCGAGTGTTGCCGCGTAGGTGTCTTGCGATGTGATGTTTCGCTGCTGATCACCGCGGACGACTAGTCGTGCCTTGCACTTGAGTAGTCGGTGATGCTTGTCAAGTTTGTAGGTGTATACCCACATGCAGTCCAGGATTTGTTGTCCTGTTTGCTTGATTTTCTTTATAGGGATCTCTGTCCATGAGTTCATTTGATGGTGGCTTGCCAGATGGGACTGTTCTGCTTCTTTGAATAGTTCTCCCATTGGGTGGTCCTCAAGCTTAGTTCGGCATGTTGGCAGAGGTGGTAGCTGACTGCGATGGGGCTTCAAGCCTTTGGCGAGCATTCTCACAATCGCAGCCTTGTCCATAGCTACTCCTCTGTATTCTCCAACCTTTCCGGCCTGGGTACCCGCCATGAACGCTGCTGCCCATGGGGCAGTCTTAGGGGTTCCTTGTCGATCCTTCTCATCTAGCGATGCTCCTGCCATTAGCCGCGCGAGCAACGCTGCGGGTGGCGGTGTCGCCGGAGGTGTCGGGTAGCTGTCCCGGATTTTTCTCCCTTGATAGTATCCTGGCTGGTCGCCCTCGCTGTCCTGAGCGAGTGACTCCTCCGGTGGACTGTCCTCATAGAAAGACTCCGTCTCTGGTTGCTGCGCTGGTGTTGGCAGCTCAATGGTCCTCACGTGTGTCGCGATTTCTTCTAGCGTATTGTGCATGAGGTTGTCCATTAGGTCTTCGGTTTTGCCATCGAAGATTGACTGTTCGTCGAAGACAACGTCTCTAGTGCTTATCACTTTGGCGAGTGACGGTATCCAGATTCGGTAGATGTTTGATGACCGGTATCCGACTAGGTATCCGATCCATGCCTTTGGGTCGAGGCGTTGTAGGCGCGACTTCCCTCTGTGGGTGTCGTCTGTCATGGCGAAAGCTTTGCAGCCATATGCCTTAAGATGAGTGAGGTTTGGTTTTCGGAGAGATGTGACTATTCCGTTGCTAAAAGCTACTCGTGTGAAGAAGACTTCGTATGGTGTCTTCCAGTGATTGTTGTAGTTTGGGGTTCTGTTGTAGAGATAGACTGCGGCTCGAGTGATTTCTGGCCACAATTCCCAAGAGAGATTGGCGTCAAGTCGCATTGCGCGTGCCTTCTCCTTGTTCACACCCCCTGAGCGCTCGGCTCCACCGTTTTGTGCCTGTGTGTCTGGGGCTGAGGGCTCGACTCTGATGCCCTGTGTTGCCAGCCATCGCTCGACATCTGGCTTAACAGTTGTGATCTCGTTGTCAGACTCTATGGTCTTAACGGATATATTGTAATGGTTCTTCATAAATGAGAAGAAAGTTGTGAGCAGCCGGATAATAGACTTGGCTGTCGGTTGTCGGTAAAGTATAAGTCCCATTGGAGGCCTGAGAAACGATCGGTAATGAGCATTTGGCTCTTCTCTTTTGTGATCGCCTGGACTTCGTATGTATGGAAGTCGATAGCAAGTCGCTCTCCTGGGCCTTCGTCGTTTGTTCGCGGTAGGCGTCGTATCTGTCTCTTGGACTTGGCTCTTCCGCAGGAGTCGCATTGTACTGTCGTCACCCCTTGAACTCGCACCCCCTCAGACTGCTGCACGAGATGCTCGATTGCTGCTGGTCCCGGGTGGCCGAGTCTCTTGTGCCACAGCATCGCTGAGGCCTTCTTTGGTCCTCGCTGCGTGCGTGCTGTGATGGCTTTTGTGTGGACAAATGCCTGGGCTAGAGGATTGTACTCTAATACCCACTGGCCAAAATTTTCTAAGAGGTTGCCAATAACTTGATCGTCTGGTCCTCGTAGGTTGGTTGGGTTTGATTTGGTATCCCACCAGATTCCTCTCTGCCGTAGCAGTCGGAAGGACACTAGATTGCATACGATCTCTGGGCAGATTGCCACATCTCGCAGCACTAGCTTTGTTGTCCTATGCTGATGTTGCAGCGTGATGTCTGTGGTCCCGTATCCCCGTATCCAAATCTTTATACTACCAGCCCATATGTAGTCTCCTAATGATGACGGGCGGTAGTTGTATATCCGATCTGGATTGTTTGTGATGTGGCACGTCGCTCCTGAATCAAGAATGAATGATCGTGCGAGAGGGTACGTGTGCTCGGCTGTCCCACTCCGTGCGATGGTAGTGAACGCGGCGTCTACGTCCGTAATCTTTCGGCCTTCTAGTCATTCGATTGGTGACTGAGAGTACTCCGGCGTTGGTGTATGTGATTGTTTCAGAGCTGGCGTGCGTGTACGGGATCTGCATTGTCCGCGGATTAGCCCTTGCAGCTGTGTATCATTCTTACATTTAAACTGTACTAGTTCATTTGTAGCTTCATTTGGTGTCCACCACTCTGGCGCTAGGTCTGGATTGACATAGTAGCATGCTCTGAGTTCATGATATTGATAACACGCTGGGCATTTCTGCCCGGAGGTAGTCCCTTCACTTTGCGCTGAGGACCGCTTCTGTGCTGGCTTTCTCATGGCTTGTGAGGTTTGTGGTTGTTTACGAGGACGTCCCCGATACTTTGTTTGCGAGGTATTCCCCGGATTCAAGTTGGTAGATGGCGCGGTGACCCCACTGCTCGGCGTCCCGCGCAGTGGCTGGTAGGATGCACCTCCAGCGAGAGTTGTATCATCATGTGTGCTTTCATCGTAAGCTGCCATAGCTGCTTTGTGCTTCCCTGATCTAAAAAGGGGATGGTGCATCATCATGTGCTCTCGGAACCGATTCATCATCTCCTTTCGGCTCATCCCAGCTGCCCATCGTCCGTTCTCTTGGAAGTTTACGGCCCAGATAGGTGCTGTTTTCTGGACGGCCACCAGAAAGTCCTTTGACATCGCATCAAGTTGTGACACTTCTGGTACGCTGTATACTTCAGCTTCCGTGGCGGCTTGGTCATATTCCGCCAGCCACGTGTCCCATTGATTTGGGGTCCTCATTGGTTTGAGGGATGCTAGGTATCTTTCTCTAGCTCGCTCCTTCTCGGTGCGATCGCTCACTCCAACTGTAAGCTTCAAGTTTATAATCCACTCGCGAAGTGTCTTGTCTGGGAGACAGCATGTGCGTAGTAGGTGCGGTGACACGCTTGATTGAATCAGGGTCATGATGTGCTGGAAGCTTGACTGCTCCTTTTCGTATTGGTGTCGGTCGCTTTTGTACTGCTCCATCGACATGCGATAGTACTCGAGGTCTTCTTTAAACGCTTTCTGTCCGCTGTTCGATAGTTCGCTAAGTCTTCCTGGCTCTTCGATGCCAGAAGCTGCTTGGTAGTCAGCAAGGATTGGGATTCTAAGGTCGGTAGGCCTCCGGAGGGGCTGAGTAGTAGTCTTTGGGTCAATCTTATCCCAAATATTGTGTGCTATGCAACGCGCTTGCAGTTGTAGCATCCAACCGGTGTAGTCTGACTGGTCGCGTAAAGTCACGGTCGCGTCGCGGGTGGTAAATGTCGTCATTTTGGTAGGTAGGTAAAGATAGTGAGACTCTTAATTGTCAGATATTCACTCTCATCTGGAATACTGATGAAATAGGTAATAATGGTGATGATATTGATTGTTGATTGTTTGTTGGTTCTGTCTACGGTTGTGGGCACACCTGGGGGGTGCCAAGCCTTCCTGTGATCCGATTGGCTCTCTCAGATGCCGGGTCGCGCTAGTCTAACCCAGCGTCTGTACGCTCTCATCTTCAACAGTGCTATTATCTGACAACAGTGTCTCTCTGTAGGTCTTCTGGTGGCTGTCCTAGGTGTGATGGTTTTGGGCCGTTGCCCCGCACAGGCCACCTGCCAGATGCCTTAGCGTTGTTTTGATGTTCGCGCACGAGCCACCTGTTTGGTGGCCCATGCACACCCCCACTTAGATATATTCCGCGCAGAGCTTCTTACAAGCTCTGCACTGCAATTACTTTGTAATTCAACACAGTTTCAAATACCTGACCTATGTGAGACCCTTACACCTATCTAGGTAGGGCTTAAACTCCTATAGGTAACTACTAGGCTTAAAGCGGTAATCAATCAATCCAATCTGAACCTTCTAGGACCCACTTAATTGATTGTTGCGGACTGTGGTAGTAGGCTCGCTTCGAGGCTTGTAGGGACTGTTGGTGCTGTTCTAAACTGTCAGATAGCAGGCGTGTCGAGCCGAAAGTGCCGACACCGCTAGCTAATAACGGGTTAGCGTCTTAGCAGAACAAAACTCTCAGCGCGCACCTTAGAACAGAGAACAACAACAATCAATCATGAACATCCATCACTTTTGTGCAATATCTCATCTAATCTGACAATTAAGAGTCTCACTGCCTCTATAACGAGCAACGAACACGCAATAATGGCGACAAACCAGAGCCAGAGGGACGCAACAGTCATCCTCACCGACTCGAGCAAATGGATCCCCTGGTACCGCCAAATCAAGATGCAATGCGAAGCCCTAGAGATCTGGGACATTGTAGATCCAGCGGGCAACACTCAGCCTCGTACAAAGCCGACCGAACCTCTCCCTCCACTCGTATCCGACTATGAACCAGCCGCTGCTCTGAGAAATACATCATCAGCTCCATCCTCCTCTACACGAACCGCGAGAGCCAATGCCCGAGCGCCTACACAAGATACAGTTGACATAGTCAACCCTGCTGTTCAAACTCCAGCCATACCAGCTCGATACTCAGAACTCTCAGCGGAGGGGAAGGAGGCATACGATGGGGACTCAAGGGAATTCAAGATGGTTTTTGAATCATACAAAATACGCGAACGAAACTATCGAGACGAACGCACAAACATTGCGGCAATGATCAGACACCTGAATGCAACAGTTAGCCCACACCTTCAAGTGAGCTGCTTTGAGGAACATGGAACTCTCCGCACCTGGATCACAAACCTCCAGGTAGCAGTTGGAGTAGACCTCGACGATGAGATCAGAAGGGTACGAGAGAGGTACCACGATTCCTTGAGACCTATGAGAAGCCCGCAAAATTGGGAATCATGGCTCAGCGAATACGACCAAGCTGCAACTCGCGCCGAAGCCCTAAAGATAGGGGACGTGATACAAAGCAAGCTGGTTGTGGACGACTTCCTAAAAGCAGTCTCTAAGATTGCCCCAGCATGGATGGCAACATTCACTGGAGCGGGAAGCGACCGGAACAATATAGAAAGAAGGCAGATGATGAAACTCTTCCGCGAACACATGAGCCTAGCTCACCCAACACGAGGCAAATCAAGAAGTGCCTTTATGACGGGTGAAGCAGCCTACGCGGCGAGCGGTGAATCCGACTCGAACACACAGGGGGACGCCTCAAGTGTGCAAATTAGAGCGCCATCTACCAACCCTAGCCAGGGAAACCAAAGGCAAACAAACAAACGCAAAATGAATGCACCTGGCAACAAGTCCAAGCAGTTCCAGAAAAGGAATACAGCAGAGCTGGCGACATATGTCCTGCTTGTGACACGCCATGACATCAGTAGCTGCTACTATGTCA